TAATGTACCCCATGTTTAGAGTGAAGTGGCCCTTGGTAAATGGTGGGCCTGAATATTTGGTGAAGGTCAGCAGAGAGCAGGGGCCTGGCCTCAGGATTGCAGCATACAGCTCAGGAGGCAAGTCTGAGGAGACAAGTCTCCCTGACATGGAGGAACAGGGTGTGGGGCACCCTGGAGACTGTTAGAATCAGCCTTTCAGGGTTGATCAGGGCCTCTCCTGCCTTTTCTGCCCCAGGCCTCTCTCCTCTTATTCTTTCATGGTCAGAGGCCAAAATGCCAGGCCTCCAGCCCCTTCCTCATAACTTGGCATTCACATCCCTCCCACCAGGACTTGTCTGCTTCACCCTTGACCACAGATGGGCCTGACCTGCATGGAATTGGGAGAGTAAGTTTTTCCCGGGTCACTTAGCCAGTCGCCCAGGTGGCAGTACATGCACTTGCTCCCTGCAAATCATTCACTGACATCACAGGGACTGGGGAACTGGCTTGAGACACTCTGGGCAGACCAATGTCCATTCAGGTGTCTTGTCCCCAGATATATCAGGGGTGAAAGCAAGGAGGAGCTACTTCTTCCTTTTCTTCATTCCTTCCCTCCCTTAGTCCTTCCTATTCTTTCCATTCTTTTTTTCCTGCACTTTCCATTCTTACACCATCTTCCATTCAGCTTCCTTACCTTTTAATTTCTTTATCTTTTACTAATTGATGAGTGTAATCAAATTTATTAAAATTTCTATATAAGAATATCTTTCTTCCTGATCTCACTCTTTTGCTTTCATAGAACTCAGAGCTTTGGTGGCAGTGACGCCTCCTCATGTCCCCTGGAATCTCAGACTTTGGAAGTAGCATGGCTTGTACAATCACAGGGTGCTGGGACAGGTGCCTCTGGTCAGGTGGGCTTTGCAGCTGACCTTTGGGTGGGCCTGGCCAGGCTCCATTCCTGAGAGTGTGTAAGGCCGAGGAATTTTCTTAGGCACATTTGACTGGATATTTCAGTTATGAGATGACAGCCTCTGCTGGGAGGGGCTGTGCTCTCCAGAAGGATAGATGTGCAGATTCAGAGGACAGTGATCATCCCCACGGAGCACGTGGTTTGTCCTCGGCAGCTCTCAGGGCAGAGCTCAGCCCACCAGCCAGGGTCAGCTGGTTAGAGGAGGAAGGAAAAAATTTTGAAGTCCACACAGAAACTATCACCTTGAGTGTGTGTATGTGCATGTGCGTATATGTGTGTGTGTTTCCTGTTATTTTCATTTTTTTTCCAGATAGCAAACAAGCAGAAAATGCTTCTTAAAACTTTTCCCTGTCGTAGAAGATGGCCCATGAACCTTTATCATAACGGTGTCGAAATAAATTCAGATTGACTAGATTGCAGGGTTCTAAAAATGGGGTTTAATCCTTTCCACCAAATGTCACATTTTAAAATGACAATTTAAAAAAATATATTTATTTATTTTAGAGAGTGAGCGACAACTGCGTATGAGTGTGTGTGTGTGTGTGTGTGTGTGTGTGTGGGAGGGCAGAAGGAGAGGTAGAGAGAGAATCTCAAGCATATTTCGCCCTGATCCAGGGAGACAATGTGGGCCTCAATCCCAGGACCCTGATATATTTCGACCTGCGCCGAAATTAAGAGTCGGACTCTTAACTGACTGAGCCACCCAGGTGCCCCTAAAATTATAATTATTTTTATATTAGCTGTTGTTTATGGCTTAAGTATTCATGTGAAACTCTTTCAGAAGCACTCTAGCAACTAAAGATAAGAGGTAATACATGGCTGTTAGAGTAGAAAGTATAATATTAACCTGATTAGCATCAGGGAAATTTATATTTTGAGCAAGAAAAATCATTTGTGGCCAGGGAACAGTGTCTGTCGATAAATAGCCCGACAGAGAGCCTGATGAGCTGGGGGAGGGCAGTGATGTTTGCTGTTTGGTGACCTTCCTGTAGCGTCTCCAGGTGTACATCCAGTGTCCTTCAGGAAAACCTTCCCTGTGCTTTGTCATTCCTTCCCCTCCCCCCCCCCATTATGGGATCCAAGGGTTGCATTCAGGGGTGATAAGCTTTCTGGCCATATCATCCTGGGCCTTTGCTGAGTCTAAGGTCCCCTTCCTGCTCCTCTTTCACCCTGAGTTGTGTGGAGCTGAGGGCTGGGCTGGGCTTGAGGACTGGAGTGTGGGGGTCAGTGTCCCTGTAGCTTCAGCCCTGCCTCCTCTAGGAAGTTCCTGGATGAAAGATTAGTGGATGGCAGGGCTCATGTCTGCCTTCTCTGTCTGCATGTGTGAGAATGAAGTGTCATAAGTATGGCTTGTGTAGCCCAGTCCCTGGCAGTTAGTAGGTACTCAATAAAATTTGGTTTTCTTCCCTCTGACTTTTCACAAAATTCCCCTAATGTCTCTCAGGCCTTGAGGAGTCTCCCCATTGGGCAGGGAAAAGCGGGGACAGCAGGGGTGGGCCTGGAGCCTAATATTGGTCCTTGTTCATTTGCTAATTTTCTTTTTTTTTATTTATTTATGATAGTCACACACAGAGAGAGAGAGAGAGAGAGGCAGAGACACAGGCAGAGGGAGAAGCAGGCTCCACGCACCGGGAGCCCGACATGGGATTCGATCCCGGGTCTCCAGGATCGCGCCCTGGGCTAAAGGCAGGCGCCAAACCACTGCGCCACCCAGGGATCCCCCTAATTTTCAATTAAAGTGAATTTTTCCAATATTCCCATGTCTAAGTGAATATTAGCAGAAATGGACCTACGGGGATGACAGCATGGGATGTGTTCAGGTATATCCAGATGTCCAGGGTTTGCCCAGAGTTTTATTTTTTATTTAATTTTTAAATTTGAAAACATTTTATTTGTTTACTTATTTGAGAGAGACAGAGAGAGAGAGAGAGCTTGGAAAGAGGGGCGTACAGGGACGGGTAGATGGAGAGGAGGAATAAGAGACTTAGTGCCCAGTGAGGAGTCCCACAGGGAGCTTGATCCCAGGACCCTGAGATCATGACCTAAGTCAGAAGCTTAATGGACTGAGTCACCCAGGCACCCCTGCCAAGAGTTTTAATATCTCGGACCAGACATCCAGGCAGAACTCAATCACTCCTATGCATCAATGGGTCCATCAGTCCTTGCTTCATGAAAATGATAGCAGATCATTCAGAACTATCAAGAGTGACCATAGGCTGGGAGAGACTTCGCTGGGTATGTGGTTGTGGATCTGAGAAATCTGATTTCCTCACCTGTAGAAGGAAGATAATAATGACAGCAGGCTGGCAGCAGTGGGGCCAGGGAGGTTTTAGCCCAAACTAGTGTCTTAACACCAGTCACTTCACACATGAACACTCAAGTACTGGGCAGGCTTGAGGGAGCAGAGCAAATGAAGGTGGTTGAGTCTGAGTTACTGTCCTGGTGATGTTCAGTGATGAGGTAGGAAGAAAAAAAGAGAGAAGATGCGGAGTTGTATCCACACAGGGGGTGACAGATTTAGGTCACAGTTAATAGTCTTTGTGTTTCTCAGAGGACTGAAATGTTTTTCCAATTTGGACAGGGCTGAATAGCCAATGTGCTGCTGAAGTGACTCCTCTGCAAATGAGCTCCAGCAAAGTTTCTTGAGTGTTTGCTACATGTTGGATACGTGAATAGGGCACATAGTGCCTCCCTTTGTGGATGCCATAGACATTCCACAGAAGAACTCATGTCAGGGCTGTGGAGAACAGGGTGCCACTAAAACCCAGCAAGCATGTGTATGGGGCACACATGAGGCTGAGCATGTTGGCGAAGGCCCCTCTGAGGAAGGTCATTTCAAGTGAGACTAGAAGGGTGAGGAGTTTGGGGGATGAGAGAGAGAGAGAGAGAGAGAGAGAGAGGAGGGAGAGAGAGAGAGAGAGAGAGAGGAGGGAGAGAGAGAGAGAGAGAAAAGGAACATTCAGTGACTTGTGAGAAGACCCAAGGCTGGGAAAGCTCCATGAACTGGAGCAACTCACCCAGGCCAGTGAGGGAGAACTAGGAACAATGGAATGAGGTTGGAAGGAAGTCAGGGCCTGGGAGCCACACACTAGAGGTTTAGCTGGGGGATCCCTGGAAGGGATGAGGGGAGCTGATGTAAGTTGATGTTAGAGGATCATGATCTTGGAAGGAAATGAAGTTGAGGGGGTAAGGCTGGAGGTGGTCAGGGGACACCCATGGAGCAGCAGGGATACCATCCTTGGGTGTGGAGCTAGGAGCTTGCCATGGATATAGATTTGAGGAGTCTTGAACTTTCTGGTACATTGGAAGTAGACTGGGTTGGAAAGTGGAGTGTGCAGTGGAATGACGCTCCAGTTTCTGTCAGATAACTGCATGAACCCAGCGATTTGTTACGAGATGGGGAACCACAAGAAAGAAGGGACTGGAGAGAAGGCCATAGTGCTCCATGATTTTCCTTCAGAGACCGTAGAATCCACCTTTCCTAGAGCAAAGTGTGGCCTGGCAGGGAGGGGGATGAATGGTGTACCCAGACCACATGTGACGGTAAAGTACTAACAAGCCACAGGGCACTGTCTACTCAGCAGGGGCAGGCCCCATGTCTGGAGCTGGTCCTGGAAGATCCTGATGCCCAGTGTTAACCCCTCTGTTGCCAGGCTGTGGGGAGTACCTGATTCATTTCCCGGTGAAGAAAAGCAAAGCAGCTACACTGGTGGCTTTTCAAACACTCTTGCCAGATAGGATTCACTAACTGACATAGAATATTTTTGCTGGTGAACAACCAGTACAGAGAGCTCCAAGCAAAGGGCTAGATATGAGTCTTGTCTGTGTCACACACTCCTGCTTCTGGTCTAGAAACTAGCCAACCTGGAGAGGAGCAGTTGTTCAACAAATGGTTGCTGAGTCTGTGCCTGTGTGTCCCCCTGCAGGATAATTGATATACCTGTTCCTGCCCTGTTTCTGTGGCTTTGATCATGTTATTTCCTTCCTGATTACCAAGGTCACCATCCAGAGTGCAGGGCAGAGTCCGCTGAGATGACTTTTTGTGCACGCTTTCACTTTCAAATGGTGAAAGGAGGCAGAGCTCGGTGGATTCTTCTGTCTGGGGGTGCCCAGTGCCCCAGGTCTCTGTTTTGAGACAGACCCCTGCAACCTGTGCCAGGTTCGGCTTCTCTACTCTCCTGGGAACCACCTGCCTCTCAGACAAGAGGAACATGTGGCACCAGTGTTGGATCTGGAAGCAGGGTTTAGGGCTCAAGCAGTGAACTGCAGGTGCAAACTCTGAGAGTAGATTTGGGGTCTGCTCTGATCTCACAGTACTGAATTAGAGATGCTCCGGAAGTTCCAGGTTTTCAAGCAGGTGAGTGGGTTCTGAAGACATCTGTGGCCAAGAAAAGGAAAACTGGGAGAAGCTGGCTGTGAGGAGGAGACTGAGAATATGGTGGCACTGAGGGCGGTGGTGCTGGATAACAACGAGAAGATGAGAATTAACTTTTGGTGGGGAATTGACTGAGCACTGGCTGTATAGAAGGCCAGGTCCTTGGTCCATAGCAGCAAAGGGCTGGGGGAGGCAGGAGGTGAAATTCAGGTGAACCCAGCAAACACAGGACCCCAGGACAGGGTATGTGTGCTGGGAGCCACAGTGTCCTGGAGGAGGATGCAATCTGATGCCATGCTTCTCAGTGAATCCCTGGTCATAATTAGAGGGCAGCAGAACAGCACACAGGAGTTGGTGTGTCCTTCCTGGGGAGCCCTCAGTCTGGGCCCTGTGTCCCTGGGCCTCTGTGGTGGCCTGTGACTAATGGAGGAGGCCCCTGTGCTGAGGAGGGAAGGCTTTGGTCCTGTGGGCAGAGCAGGCTATGAAAGCTTTCCACGAGGATGGGAAGGCTTTATGTTATCAGGGTTGTGGGGGTCCCCACCCCATGAGCATAATGAGCGGTAGGAAAGGCTATGCTCCTGCTGGGAACTGTTGCCAGCCCTGAGCCCTGTGTCTGCTCTGAGGCCCAGAGCTGTGGGCTGGCCCTGCCTCATCTCTTTAGGTGTTCACCTGCCTCCTTCCTGTGTCTCCCCAGCTCTGAGGAAATGGAGGATCGCTGTAGGGGCTCTTTGCTCTCCCATCTCCCCTCCCTGCTTCTCCTCTTCCAGTTGTCCTTTGCGGGGTCTCCAGGTGAGTGTGTGCCCTCCCCATGCCTGTGTCTCCCCTCCCTCAGGTGGGTGAGAGTCTCCGGGAGCCTTGCTGATGTCTCCATCAGGACAGATGGCTATTGGTGGAGGCCCTGACTAGAGAGATTCTGGTGACCCTTCAACTACTAGTGTTTCCTAAGGTGGCTAGTGTAGGCAGTGAGATAGGAAAAAAGACAGGGAGGAGGTGGGGTACTGGCCTGTCTGGATCCCATGGAAAGAGTGTGTCCACAGTGGGGAGCAGCCAGAGCAAAGCTGGTAATATCCTGTGTTCAAGTAGCTAAGGAAGCAAGTGTTGGCTGGAGCCAAATGAGCAAGAGGGAGAGAAGCAGGAATTGGGGGTCAGAGATCACTGGGGGTCATCATTATTGGGCTTGTGGGTCACTTGGGGAACCTGAGAGGCATTGCAGGGCTTTGAGCAGAGGAGGGATTTGGTTTTGCTTACAAGTTAAAAGAGTCACACACATGTGGTCTGGGAGGGATAGTCACTGTCATCTCCCCGGAAAGACATATGGTGACTCAGCCAAGGTTGAGTAGCACAGAGGTAAGAAGTCACTCTTCAGAAGTCCAACAGGACTCTTTCTGTAGAAGTATAGTGTCATGACATAGCCGTAGGTATCAAAAGACCAAGGCCTGTGAGGAGTGGTGGCAGTGAAGTGAACCTACCTTTGTAACAAGTAGTGATTTGTATCCTGTGAGTGAGGGCAGGTCTTAATGGAAGTAGCCATGGGCTCTAGTTTTTAGTGCACATGGAATTAAACAGAAGACAAAGAAATTGGGGACAAATTATAGACTAAGGAGCAGGTATGGGGAAGTTCCTGACTGTGGCCAAATGAACATAGGGGTCCCTCCTATGCCACAGGTGTGCTCTTTGGTCAGTTTTCAGTCTTGAGCCAGGTTAGAACTATGGTTCTTAGAGTGTGGTCCCTGGCACATCAATACCAGCATCCCCACCATCTCCTCAGAAGTGCACATTCTGGGTCCTACCCCAGACCTCCTGAACCAGAAGCTCTGAGGGTAAAGCCCAGCAATCTGTGTTTCACAAGCCTTCCTGGTGATTGTGATGCTTGTGGAAGGTTAGAACCATTGAGTTAGAGTCCTTCATGGAAGGGCCTGGACCCAGGAGCATAGGCTGCTAAGGGAGTCTCTTTGACGTCATTTCTGGGTCTCAGAGTTGTGGTAAGAGGCTCTTGCCCTGATTCAGAGTGGTCACAGCTGAGTCCCTCAGGTCAGGGCCTCTCACCTGACACTTACCCTTGCCTGCCTGGGCTCCCACCTGATAGTGTGTGATCCCTGCCCCCACCCTGTGTCTCTCCCACTCTCTCACTCCTATTCTGTGTCCACAGAGGAGTTCGTGGTGATTGGCCCCTCAGACCCCATTGTGGCCATGCTGGGTGGGGACGTCATGCTGCCGTGTCATTTGTCCCCAGCCATGGATATGGAGAACATGGAGCTACGGTGGTTCCGCTCTAAGTTCTCAGAAGCAGCGTTCATCTATCAAAACCAGCAGGAGCAGAGAGAGGAGCAATTGGCCCAGTACGCAGGGCGGACCTCACTGGTAAAAGACTTCCTCACTCAGGGGGAGGCTGCCATGCGTATCCACAAGGTCCAGGCTTTTGACAATGGACTATATACCTGCTTATTCAGGAAAGGAACCTTCTATGAAGAGGCCAATTTGGAGCTGATGGTGGCAGGTGTGTGGTTGATCTATATTTAGAGTCTTACAGTATTTGAGTTGTGAGCAACCTCATGGTCCAGCAAACAGGCCCTCATTTTACAGATGAGGGAAAGGAGGGTCTTTCACTCATTCATTTTTTTGGGACAAATATGTAGAACCCCTAGTATGTGGGGGTTACTGTTCTGGGTACTTGGATACAAAAGTATAACAAATAAAGATCTCTGCCCTGTAGAATTTATATTCTAAGGTGAATAAATAGGTAGACATCTGGGATATAGAGGATGTTAGGTGGTGGGAAGTGGGGATTCAGCCAAGTGGATATCTGTAGGCAAGAATTCCAAGCAGAGGAACAACCATGTGAGACACCTGAGGTAGGAGTGTGGCTGTTGCATCTGTGCACACAGGGAGTCCCCCTGGCTGGTGAGAGAGTTGAGTGGGAGGGTGGTGAGAGGTGACAATCCTGGAATATAGAGGTGTTCCTGGTCCATGGGCGCAGAGAAAGGATTGATCAGGAAAAATTCATGAGGAATACACTCTTGAGCAGATACTTGAGTGAAGCAGACAGTGTTCTAAAGAGCCCTTTTGGTTGATGGACTCCATGAGGGGCACAAAGAGCAGGGTGATATTGTTTATGAGGAATTCTTCAAATAGTCCTGGGGTTGGAGCGTGTCTGCCCTGATGGATGTAGGTGATATGATTAGAGAAGAAGTGGAGAGGGATTTTATGTGTGTGAGGGCAATGCCAGACTATTGGAGGCTTTGTTTGCTGTGCCATGGAGTTTGGATACAGAACTGAGGAAATTCTAAGCAGAGTGATTTAGGGAGGTGTGTATGTGGGGAGGTTTATTTGACAGCTGTAAGCGTAGGTATATAGAAGGTGAACAAGACTGGAGCAGGATATGTCCTTACAGGGTAGCTAGGTTGGCTGTCTGAATTCATGTAAACGAAGTGGGGTGGGAAAGGTGGGATCTGGCAACAGAGAGATTTGGAAAGTAAAGCTTTTTTTTTTTAAAAAGATTTTTATTTTATTTTTTCATGAGAGACACAGAGACAGAGAGAGGTAGAGACACAGGCAGAGGGAGAAGCAGGGTCCATGCAGGGAGCCCGATATGGGATTCAATCCCAGGACTCCAGGATCATGCCCTGGGCCGAAGGCAGATGCTCAACCACTGAGCCACCCAGGGATCCCTTGGAAAGTAGAAACAACTGAACGAGTAGATTTGGGAGACGCAGAGGGTTTGTGGGGTGGGAGGAAAGGATGGCAGAGAAACCCAGGGTTTTTTTGAGGGGGCAATTTGGGGCACCCAGGTGCCCCATCTTAAAATTTCTGGCACAGAAATATTGGTAATTATGTGTTAGTTGCTGATTTCTGTAACAATGCTGTGTAATACACGCATGGAAAGCTCAGTGGTATATAGCAACAACCATTTATTTAATCTGGGTGTTAAAGGAGTTCAGCACATCTTAGCTGCATTTGGCTAATCTTAACTGGACTTACTGGTACATCTTTGGTAATATATGGGAAATTTAATTAAAAACAAATCTCTCAACCCAGAAATATTTTTCACAAAGATATAAGGGAAAGAAAACAGCTTTATTATTGAATTAGCATTAACCAGTATGTGAGGTTCATCATGAGTACCTACCAAGATATTGAAATGACAGTAGAAATCTCATTCTTTTCCATAGCCACGCAGACACAATCATTACATTACATACATGTTCTCAGGACAAACAATTCCTATCTCTCAAATAAGTAGACTTGACAGCACCTTTTGTCACAGATGATACACCCTATAATTACTTGGAAATTGGGGTAATCATCTATGTTAACTAATCAGCTTTATCCTGAGGAAAAAGAAATTAGCCTATCTTAAAATATTTTAAAAATATTTTATTTATTTAATCATGACACACACACACACACACACACACAGAGAGAGAGAGAGAGAGAGAGAGAGAGAGAGAGAGAGAGGCAGGCAGAGACACAGGCAGAGGGAGAAGTGGAGACTCAATCTCAGGATCCCAGGATCACGACCTGAGCCGAAAGCTCAATCACTGAGCCACCCAGGTGCCCCATCTTAAAATTTGTTTAAAGAAATTTAATTCCAGTGTAGTTAAAATATAGTGTTATATTCATCAGGTGTGCAATATAGTGATTCAACATTTCCGCATGTTACTCAGTGGAATTTTCAACAGAAACTTTACTGGCCAGAAAGGATTGGCATGATGTATTCTAAGTGTGAAAAGAAAAAATCTGCAGCCAAGAATATTCTATCCAGCAAGTGTATCATTCAGTCTATTCAGCAAGCCAATATAAGGAGAGATGAAGAGCTTTCCAGACAAACAAAAGTTAAATTAGTTTGTTTTTTACACATTCTTCCATCTTTATGAGAGGACATGTTTTTACACTTGGATCTTGGTGCCCACTGAAGTTAGGCTCCTACCCTGGCACAGGAAGCGGGGAGAGGGTTGCTGTCTTCTTTGGTGTTAACAGTTCAAAGAGAGGGCTCCCAGGTCCTTGAGAAAGACATCCCTGGATCACAGAGCTGGCCTAAGGCCTATCTAGTTGTCACAAAGGACTTACATACATTTCAAAGAGGGGAGAAAGCACCACAATTACAAGTTTCCATATATATATATATATATAACAAGTTTCCTATAGTAAATGCTGTAAGAAAAAGGATGGAAAGGGGCTCTCTTTCCTTATTTTATTTTTTTAAAAGATTTTATTTATTTATTCACGAGAGACACAGAGAAAGAGAGAGAGGCAGAGACACAGGCAGAGGGAGAAGCAGGCTCCATGCAGGGAGCCCGATGTGGGACTCGATCCTGGGTCTTCAGGATCACGCCCTGGGCTGAAGGTGGCGCTAAACCGCTGAGCCACTCAGGCTGCCCTCTTTCCTTATTTTAAACGGGGACAGTAAGCCTCTTAATTTTAATATATTTTGTCCTGACAGTGGAACTTGGCTGGGTTTGCTCACATAGGTGTTGTTCAGCTGGCTGTTGGCTGATCTAGGACAGCTTCAGCTTGAAAGGCTGTGCTAGCCTGAGCACCTACCTCCCATAGCAGAGGGCAAGGCGATGTCACAAGCAGTTTCCAACCTCTGCTGGAGCCACATTCTCTGAACTCTCAGTGGCTGAGTCAAGTCACATGAAGGAGCCCAGCAGCAGAGTGTGAAGGCACTAACAAAATGTGGCAGAGGATGAGCTGGATGTAAAGAAGTCTGAAGGATTGGGGATATTTTCATCATCAGCCTATCACAGATGGGGACAAATACGAATCAGTTCAGGATTTGAATTTGAAGCATCTGTGAGGAATCATGGCAGAGCTAACCCCAGGGATGTGGATATTAGGGTGGGAGATCAGGAAGTAGATAGGGTTGTCAGTGGTGGAAGTGATTTTACCAAGGGGCAGTGGGTGTGCAGGCAGATGCCCTGGAGAGTGTGTGAGGGGAGAAGAGCAGAGAAGGATGGAATATAGGACCAAATTCCTTATTGTGTTACTCTCGGTGATGGACTTCCCACTCTCATGGCTGGGGAGAAGAGCTTTACCCTCTGTGGCTGCTGCAAGTCCCCATGGTCTTTCCTTCTGTTTCCTGAAGCAGAGCTACTGCTTTGCTCCTGGCAGGGACCACTCCTCATAGAGCCCCCAGAATGCAATGCTACCTCTGGAGTTGGGCACAGAAATGCTCTGCTGGCATCCCCAGGCTCTGGTTGGCCTCTCTGTGCTCTCCAGCTTCTCTCTCACAGGTGTGGGTTCTGCTCCTCAAGTGCACATCCAAGGGCCAGAGGAGGATGGAATCCGAGTGATGTGCATGGCCTCAGGGTGGTTCCCAAAACCCCAGGTGCAGTGGCGAGCCCTCAGTGGGGAGAAGTTCCTGACGTTCTCTGAGACTTATGCCCAAGATGCTGAAGGACTGTACAGTGTGGAGGCTGCTCTGGTGGTGAGGGACAGCTCCTCAGGGAACGTGACCTGCTCGGTCCTCAACCCCATCCTGGGCCAGGAGAAGGTGATGGCCATTTTCATTCCAGGTCAGTGCTACTTCCTGCTCCCAGGAGGGCAGGAGGGGATTGGCAAGGGAGGTCTCTGGGTGTGCTGGGCTGAGCTGTCCTGGGCCATACCCATGATGGGGTGTCTGGCTGGGCCCAGAGCCCTTCTTCCCCCAGACTTCTCCCTGGAAGCCAGCTTTCATGGTGACCCTGACCGTGCTGACACTCCTAATCTTTGGGGCTGCCTACTACACTAAGAGAGAACATACTGCAAAGCAGCAGGAGAGGCAGGAATGGGAGAAACTGCACAGGGACAAGGAGGAGGACCAGCAGACAAAGGAGAAGGTGCTGAAGGACAGAGGTAAGGTAGGACAGGGGTCAAGGCCTGTAAGTGTGGCAGCTGGTGCAGAGGATGAGCTGACAGCAGGGCCCTTGGCCTGGAGCAAGTGGCTGAGGAGGTCCAGAGATGACAGCTGGAGCTGTGGAGTCTCGATGGATCTGGAGTTAGGCCTTCTTCTAGGATACGGAGAGGTTCTTTTGTGGGTTCTCCAGGTGCAGTCTTTGCTGTTCTTAGGGATGAGAGTTCATGCTTATTTTCCACTTTCTTTCAGATGAATTCCAAGCAGATATTGGTGAGAACTTTCTATGTCCCTTTTGTAGGAGACGTTCTGTGTTCTCAGCTGACTTGCTTCCTGTGTTGCCTTTCAGACTGGAGGAAATCTGTTTACCTGTCTGGTAAGTAACTGTCCAGATGTCCTTGGGTCACCTGTCACCTAAGCCAAGGTGTCCCCTCTCCTTGTTTCAGGCACAGACATGTGGACCCTTCCCTGGGGCAGAAGTGGAAGCTGGTGGGAGGCAGAACCTGCTCCATGGGCTTTCCTCATCTGGGCCTCTGCTTCCCACCCAGTGCTAGGGAACCTGGGGGTGAAGGTGCTTCTTGGAGTCTGTTGTGTATCTTGTGTTTATCCCAATGCTGATCTTCCTGTCACATTGCTAGCTGATTAGCCTTCAATGCAAGGAGTTCTCAGCACCTGGGAGCCACAAGACAATTGTACTTATGTTGAAATCTTGGTATTTTATTTCACCATTTTACTCTTTGTTTCTTTATTATCCTTTTCTGCATTTTGTTTTGATTAAATATTTTTAATTATTCCGTTTTCTCCTCTGTTAGCTTTAGTGATATCTGGATCATGTTTCTCTATTATTAATAGTACTTTTATTATTTGTTTACTGACTACTCTTGAGATTCAGCTTTCTTTCTTTCTTTTTGGTTATTTTTAATGATTGTACCTTTCTCCTCTGCTGACTTTTTGTTATGTATATATCTATACATTTATATCTATTTCTCTTTCAGTGTACCTAGATACACAATTATTTCAATTCAATTGGCAGTCAAACTAGAGATTCAATATTTACTGTATACTTACAGTCATGTGGGTTTATGATAATTTTCCTAATTCTATATAATAAATCTTGACTCATTAAACTGGTTTATCACCCTCCTGCCTTTTTATTTTTACTGTCATATATTTTAATTCTACATGTCTGCAGTCTCACTAGTTCTTATTCTTTCTTTATATTTTTACTAGTTCTTATTTTTAATAGTTAATGTTCATTCATTTTAATATATTCATATTTATTTATAAACATTCATATTCATTTATATATTCTTTTTAAAAAGATTTTATTTATTAATTCATGAGAGACAGGGAGAGAGAGAGAGAGAGAGAGAGAGAGGCAGAGACACAGGCAGAGGGAGAAGCAGGCTCCATGCAGGGAGCCTGATGTGGGACTCGATCCCTGGTCTCCAAGACCACAGCTTGGGCTGAAGGCGGTGCTAAACCGCTGAGCCACTGGGCTGCCCTCACTTATATATTCAGAATCAAATATTTTTTTTTAATAAATTAATTTTTATTGGTGTTCAATTTACCAACATACAGAATAACACCCAGTGCTCATCCCGTCAAGTGTCCCCCTCAGTGCCCGTCACCCATTCACCCCCACCCCCTGCCCTCCTCCCCCTCTACCACCCCCAGTTCATTTCCCAGAGTTAGGAGTCTTTATGCTCTGTCTCCCTTTCTGATATTTCCCACACATTTCTTCTCCCTTCCCTTATATTCCCTTTCACTATTATTCATATTCCCCAAATGAATGAGAACATACCCTGTTTGTCCTTCTCTGATTGACTTACTTCACTCAGCATAATACCCTCCAGTTCCATCCACGTCGAAGCAAATGGTGGGTATTTGTCGTTTCTAATGGCTGAGGAATATTCCATTGTATCCATAGACCACATCTTCTTTATCCATTCATCTTTCGATGGACACCGAGGCTCCTTCCACAGTTTGGCTATTGTGGACATGGCTGCTAGAAACATTGGGGTGCAGGTGTCCCGGTGTTTCATTGCATCTGAATCTTTGGGGTAAATCCCTAACAGTGCAATTGCTGGGTCATAGGGCAGGTCTATTTTTAACTCTTTGAGGAACCTCCACACAGTTTTCCAGAGTGGCTGCACCAGTTCACATTCCCACCAACAGTGTAAGAGGGTTCCCTTTTCAGAATCAAATATATACCTATTATTTATATGTATCTATACACACATTTTTTTCTCTTCTTATTTCCTTTACACAGTCTGTACTTCAAGTAGAAGATTTTCCTTCAGGCTGAAGAATTACCTTTTGTATACTTTGTGTACAGATCTAGGGATGCATTTTCTATGTTCTGTGGGACATAGTTTCTCATAGAGCATTACTTAAAAATCTTTGCCTTTAGAACAATGAATGAGTGTGAATGTGAACATTTGAGGCAATCTAGACCTGGCTGATAACATCTGCCTATGCACATTTCTTCTTTGTTCCATTTCCCCTTTACTGATGGCTGCAGATGTGCATGATGTGCATGATGTGCTAGGAGGGGGGAGGCAGAGAAAGGAGGAGAAAGTCTGGGTTCCTGAATGACCATATGGAGGAGTTCAGTCTCCAATCTGAACACCCATCCAGCACTGTCAGGTGGGGAAATCTGTGGTGACAGATTTGGGGACTTATTTGCTAATTCAGCATAACCTAATATACCTACAAAATGTTTAAATCACCAAATTAACTTAAATAGTTATCATTCTAATACCTTCAAAAATGGCTGGCTCAGTCAGTAGGGCATGCAGCTCTTGATCTCAGAGTCATGAGTTTGATCCCCATGTTGGCTGTAGTTTACTTTAAAATATTAGATAAATAAATAAAATAAGTATTTAAAATGACTAAAGTCAAGTAGGGCCTAACAACTGAGCTGGTCAGTGGCTGATGGCTCCTCTTACCTCTTCATTCAGCCACTGTGCCCTAAGTACTCAGTTCGTGCCAGTGCTGATAAGCCAACTAGGTCTTCCCTCTAGGAGCTCTACAGGGGAAGATGGACAAAACATGAAACAGAATTTCATTCATGAAATGAATGAAAAGAGTAGTTACTCCATAGGAAAAGAGTAAGGTGCTACAACTGGGTTCTGAACTCCTCCAGGGAAGGGGCTGATAAGGCTGTGCTGAGGTGACATTAGTATTTCCTGCAGCAGGGCAGGAAAGAGCCAGCCTTGCACAAACCTGAGTATATGTAATCTGGTAGAAGGCTCAGTGGTGGAGACACTGGCAGGCAGAAGTTGGTGTTGTCATAGCTGAAGTTAGAAAGGAGGCCAGGAAGGCTGTAGGGAGTTGAGGAGGAGAGCGGAGAGGCAGGGGGGAAGAGCCAGGGCCTGGGGCAGGAGGACATTATCAGTGCTCTGCTACTGGTGTTGTGTGACGACATTTCGCCACAAACACTTAGTGTCTCACAGTCTCAGGGGATCAGGAATCCAGGAGTGCTCAGCTGGGGGCTCCTGCCGGAGCCTCTCAGGAGGTTAGGGCTTCTGTCCACACTGACACAGGACCTGTTTCATTCACAACCTGAGCTCACTTAGAGGTGTTGGCAGCATTCGGTCTGTAATGAGGGCCTAAGTTCTCCATCTGTAATTGTTTCTGAGTGCTAGGGCATGTGCATGTGTCTGTGTCATGGCTCAACATAGGGGTTTCTTCCCCAGTGTGAGGATCTGAGAGAGAACACAGGTCAGAGTGAGCGTGTAGCTGGACACTGAATTTTTATAACCAAATCTTGGAAGGGGCTCTGGGGCATGTTGCCATCTTTTAGAAGCAAAATGGAAGTGAGTCACTAAGTCCAGGCCACACTCCAAGGGAAGGGGTCATACAAGGATGTATACACAGGAGGTGGGGATCTCAGGGAGCCACTGAGGGGAAAAGGGGAACACCCTGACAGGATTACTGAGTTGCCCAGAATCACAGACTGGTAAAAAGGCAGAACCAGGCATGAATCCAGCTGCGTGTCCTCAAAGTTGGGGCCCTGGCTGCACCCAGGCTTTCTGAGGCTTTCTGGGGCTCCTTCTGTGTTAATGTAACTGTGTGCAGACATGGAGGTGGTATGGGGGTGAGGGTGAGTATTGGCATCCTTGACAGGAGGAATTCCTGCATGTTCTTGTCTGAGGAGGAGCCCAGTCAGGCAGCCCACTGAGTGCACCCCTGTCTATAATGCACCCAGTGGAAAGGGAGGGAATGGCTTGTGGTACATGACAGGTAGAGTCAAGAGGTAAGGGTGGGTTTTGACCTTCTAGGCCAAGACTCCAATCCCATCTTGTAGGGTTTGCTTTGAAAATTAGAAAGCCTTAGATCTTGGGAAGCTTTTGCCCATCCTTCCCTAGGTGAGACTGTCATCTTCTGGGCTTCCATAATGTAAGTACTGGTATACGCGCGCACACACACACACAACAGTAAGGACTGTGGGGTGGGATCTGAGGAAGAGCAGGCTTAGAGGAGGTGAGAAGAGGAAGAAAATGTGTTGGAGGCATTTCCTAAATGTGACACCACTCCTCAAATTTCATAGGTATCATCTCACATATATCTGAAGACATCCCAAGGAAGGACATACTAGAATAATCCCCACTGAGCAGGCAGGACACAGAGCATCGCAAGAGGTACAGTGGCTTATCTAGGGTCAAAACAAGTTTGAATAGGGCAGCCCGGGTGGCTCAGTGGTTTAGCGCCAATTTCAGCCCAGGGCATGATTCTGGGGACCCGGGATCGAGTCCCAGGTCGGGCTCCCTGCATGGAATCTGCTTCTCCCTTTGCCTGTGTCTCTGCCTCTCTCTCTTTCTCTCTCTCTGTGTCTTTCATGAATAAATAAATAAAATCTTAAAAAAAAAACAGGTAAGAATAAAGAGTTGTGTCTGAACCCGGGTGTATCTCAAGGGTGGGATCCTGACTATACCCAGACATTCCCCAGGAGCTGTGGAGAGAGAGGGTGCATTGGTGCAACTATGTACAGATGGGGAATTTCATGGAGAAGAAGGGTGAGGAGTCAGAAGCCTAGAGCACTGTTTCATAGATGATAGCCCAGAAGAGGTCTCAGGTAGGGGATCCAAGGTGGTGAAGTCACTTCCTTGACAATAGTCCCCAACAGAACTTGAAACCCTCAAAACCAGGCACCCACATTCTAGAGCAGACCCAGACCAGATCACTTGGCTAGAGACACTGGAGAGTGAAAGATGTTCTGCAGTTTGCTGACTTACCAGGGCTCTGGCTTCCAGAAACCCAGTGTGAGAGTTTTCTCAGATGCTGCAGATGTTGGCTCAACCCTTACCTCCAATGTCTCGATGTCTCAGACTATTTGCCAGGAAGTGCCACAAAGTAATACAGAACAGCCGAGGGCAGGCCAGTTCACGTCAGGTCACTTCACTGAGTCATCTCTGTGCAGCCGCATCCCTTCTTCTTCAGTTTCAGGGAAAGAGGGACGTGTGGGGAAGTCCTGCCCTGGGCTGGAGGAGCTTGGAGGGCAGTGGATACCCATCATGTTCACACCAACGTCATGGTGATAGGGCGGAAAGGGAATTCCTGAGGTGCCTCTTAACCTGTGCTAGGGTTAATCCAAGGCCCTCATGGTGTATTATTGCTTTCTCCTTTTTGGTGGCGGTCTATGCACACTGAGGCGTGGTGTGTCTGGAATGGAGCACATGGGTCTAAGGACCAGCAAAGGCAGCCAGACAGGGCTCTGAGGCCTCCCCTGGCTTTACTGAGGTCACTGTCTTTACTGAGCTCCACACTGGAGATGGGGCAGGGGCTGAATGATGGGATCCGTCCATCTCCCTGAAGGACAGGAAGATGCCCCACACCACCAACAGGGTGCAGCTCTGGCTCAGGGTGAGTGCAGGTACCAGGAAGATCCAACACCCAGGGCATCAGGGAAGCAAAAAGGGCCCCAGGTCCCAGAAGCCACCCTGCTA